AGAATTTATAACGCTAAGAGGTGCCCGGACGAGAATAGCTTACCATTCACGAAATATCTACTGACCGGGGAAGCAAGTCACTGGTGGGCGAGTATGAGGGCTATTTTGACGGACGCCCAAAGTCCCATCACATGGGAAGTATTCCGGAGCAAATTTTATGAAGAATACTTCCCAGACAGCGTCCGTTTTGCAAAGGAGGTGAAATTCCTTCAGTTGGTACAAGGTGGGATGTCTGTCTCGGAATATACCAACAAGTTCAAGCATCTCGTCCGTTTCAATACGATGGCCAGTAGTGAAGAGTGGCAGTGTAGGAAATTTGAGAACGGACTGAGGAGTGATCTGAAGGTGTTGATCTCCAATTTATGTATTCGGTCATTTCATGCCATGGTGGAGAGAGCCAAAGTACTGGAGAAGAATATGGCAAAGGTAGAACGACAGAAGAAGCAACAACAGGTGGTTAGGGGACCGATCGTATCCAGAGGCAATATTAATCAGAGAAGAACACCTTACACTCATCCAAACCAACCATCAAATACAAGTGGGTCTCAAGCGCTGGTCGCTACCAGACAATCTGGACAACAAGGAAACGTTACTTGTTTCCAGTGTGGAGGACCACATTACCGTTCGTCATGTCCTCAGCTGGTGGGAGGAAAACACTACACTCGTTGTGGAAGGAATGGACACTTGGAGAATGAGTGCAACTTTGGAGGACGAGCGGTGATGAGACCACCGAACACGAGAAGGAATCAACCAAGAGGTGGTCGAGCCCAAGCGGTTGGGCGTGTATATGCCATAACGGGCGCGGAAGCAGCCAGCTCAGGTACACTTATCATCAGCACCTGCTTAATGTATGGAATACCTTGTTGTGTACTGTATGATTCGGGGGCGACCCACTCCTTCATCTCGAAGGCGTGTGTTGAAAAATTGGGATTGGCAGAGAGTGAGATGCAGTTCGACTTGGTGGTGTCAACCCCAACGGCTGGAGAGGTTAGGACGTTTGAGGGGCGTAGATATAAGGTGAATTTGATCTGTTTACCTCTAAAGGAGTTAGAGGTGATTTTAGGAATGGATTGGTTGGCTACCAATCGCATT